TGCTTTAGCCCAGAAAGAACTCGAGAAGTTCATACAGTTAACTTCTGAGTAGCTGACAAGTAAACCTTTTTGATCTCATGGTGATTTAGACAACTTTTCGCAACCTTCTCTAGTAACATGTTAAATTCATTCGTTTTCTGACACATTTATTGCAGATTAGTTACTCTCTGCTGCTTTCTTGCCATTGTAAAGTTTAATGAACATAAAAGCTAATTAAGCATTTTGGAAATGGAACATCACATTCAAATCTCACGCCTGGAGATTGGAGGCGTTATGATTCTGCGCATTAGCATCCCTGAATTACCTCGTGCTTATACTGCATACATTTGAGAACAGGAATAATCAGGAGCTTGCAAGTATCTTGGGCTTCCTACTAGTTGTACCAGTTGCTACCACTCATTAGCATCACTGTGCAGTCTCAGGAACTTTCTGTTCCTTGTCTTGGCCCAAAGGTGTCTCAGCAATGTCACATAGTAGCCTTGGGATATTTCCTCTTTTTTTTTTTTTTCTATTTTTTTTTCCTTCAGCCTTATTGTTGTTAATGTCCATTAAATGCCTCAGACCTCTGTGGTAATATTGCATGCTGTAAAGGGACTGCAGTGCTACATTGTTAGTCTCACTGCTGGTAGTCTGTGTTTATCGTCCCCTACTTTGTAGTTCGGGCTGTAGCTACACAATGGAACATCTTACTGCAAGATGTTTTGGCTGGGAAACATTCTTATTTATCTGGTATTCTGAGTTGGAAAGCAATAAAGTCTGGGATCAGACCTTGAAATTGACCTTCTTTTGCTTACTGTGGGTATCATCATTTTGTTGCTTTAATCTTCGTCGATGGTGAGAGGAAGGACCAGAGCTTTGTGAAACATTTCTTTCCTCACTGAACACACGATAGAAAAATGTCATGTTTTCCCTTCGCTGAGCATGCCCACATGAGTGAGAAAGACAGCATAACTGTCTTCTGTCAGGAGTTCAGATCTATTTCTGGTACAGTTTTGGCATCAAAAGAAAATTGGGGGAAAAAAAATGCTATTCCATTTCATGGCTTACAAAGCACCTGTTGTAGTTATGGGAACACTGCTGGTGAGGAGAGGGTAAGTACATATGTCTGTACCCATATAGATACTGAGTAGAAAGTATGGTTTTAAAAACCACACTGTTTTGTTTTGTTTTCCCTTCTTCTTTATGTACACATAGTTTTCCTGTAGAAACTGGCAGATTATGGTGATGTCTTAGAGGAGACAAGCCGTGGTTGTGTGGTTACTGAGTGGGATCTTTGCCTGCAGTAAAACTTAATTTTCCAAACTTAATGTGACAACATAATTGCATACATAAACTGTTCATGGGAGCTCAGACCTTTTTGCAACAAGTACCGTGGTAGTATGGTGCCTGCGAGTCTTTTTAGTGTTTGAAAACATGAGTTGCCTTGGCCCTGGTGTGTGTAGCACTGAAGGTTCGCCTGTATCTGCAGCACTTGCCATAGCCCATGCCTTTTATGAATAAACTTGTAAACCTAGAGGAAAAATGGCTTTTGACAAAACTTACCTTGGGGTTCACAGTGATATTTGAGCAGCGAGAGTATTGAACTATGATCTTTTAAAACTTCACAACCTGGAAATTATTATGGTGAGGAAAAAGAAAATCGTGCCAAAGACGTTCATAACTGATTTTAAAATGGTTTGTACAAGTAGAAAAACAAGGAAAGAGGGGAAAATTCTCTGACAGACTAGAAAAGAGAGAATGCCCTGGCAGCAAAGGATGCTAACAGATCCAGGGCTGTGTGAGCAGGAGCAGATCCAGTAGAGAGAGGGAGGTAGCCAGGCCCCTATGCTCAGCACGTGGGAGGCCACGTCTGGGATAGTCTCCAGTTTCAGGCCCCCCAGTTCAAGGCAGGCATCACTAATTTGGATGGAGTTAGCAGAGGACCATCATGACGATGTGTGGCTGGAGGACTGGCCATGTGAGGAGAAGCTGATGGAGCCCAGTTCAGCCTGGGGACAGGGTGACCCTGGGGCAACCTCCCAGCAGCACCCAGTGCCTGTGGGAAAGCATTGGATCTCCACCAAGCAGGCTGAGTCAGGCTCGTCATGGTGATGGGTGGTAGGAAGAGGCTTCTCTAGGCTAAAAAGTCCAAGCACTCTCAGCATGTCCTCACAGGAGAGGTGCTCCAGTCCCATCATCACCTCTAGGTCCTCCATTGGGCTCTTCACAGTATGTCCAGGTCTTCCTTGTACTAGGGAGCCCAGAACTGGAGACAGTACTCCAGGTATGGCCTCATCTACATGTGAGCACCCATAAGGGTTTCTTCTCCAGTGGGAAAAGATTTGTTTTTCAGCTAGCTGTGGAAGGTGTGTTTCTCCTAGGATACTATGCCACTACTGCAGGGTTACTCACATAACAGGTTATGGTCTATATTGGGCGCATCAGGGCAACCTGCAGCCCACTCCTAACATCACTATGAAGGGGACTGTCAGTAGTGAGGGGTGGTCAAATCTCCTGGTGGCTACCAGCCTCCCTCTTTCCTACAAACAGTAACACCCTTCCATAGCATATAAGCATGAGCACTTTTGCCAGGGGAGAAGGAAAATGGTGACAAAACAGCTCTGCATTTCAGTTCACGCATATCTTCTTCGTCCATGTGTGATGAAGCTCAGGTGAAGGAGAATTACTTTATTATTTTCTTTCATTTCTGAATCTGTTGGGTGAAAATAACTGCTGTCTTGTATATTGTCTGAGGCAGGATTTTATCAGTAGGATAGAAAATAAATTGGATGTGCATTTAGGTGCCTATTCTTGTCTTTCATACTACCTTCTACGTGGTACTTTGCAGTAATGTGAGGAGAAATACATGTTTGAATGGAGAATCTTATCTAATCTCATTCTGACCCTTGGCGGTTATAAGGTATCCGAAACTTAAATAAGAGTTAATAATTGTAGTAAGATGAGAGATAAGGTGCAGTGTGTAGCATGAATTGCAAGAAAAGGAGGCAGATACTGTGTTCTGCATATGATGAAAGTAGAGGAAGGCCTCTTAGATAGTAGAGGATGTTACGTTAAGTAGCTGACTGTTTTCCTCATAGACTCTTAAGCCAATGACTGTAGTCTGATGGTTTCTGATTGTTCAGATCATTCTATTTTAGGTTTTCTCTTGTTGTTGTTGTTCTTTTGTTTTATTTTCCATTACTGTTGTATTTTGCAATTGTATGTTGTATACAAATGTTGTATATTGCAATTATCTTCCTGACTGATTCCTGTGAATGGGGACTTGCACTGGGATGACATCTTAATTTTACAAGATCAAACGTGTTCTGTAATTCTATATTGGCTGTTAGATGTTGTTTCAACATTTTAAATCTTTGTTAACAAGAAAGGTAACCTGTTGGCAATTGAAATTTATAGACAATTTCAGGAGCAGCAGTTCATGCATCAGGGTAAGATTGCTAATGTAGTTGCCTGGTTGAGTCTAACTTAAAACTTTCATCTGCTTCCTCCTGTTCTCAGTAGATGATTAACTCTTACAACACAATAAATATCTTTCTCCATTTCCCCTCGTTGCTTGCTTTAACAATGAGATTAGCCATCAATGAGTTGCCTAAAAAGTCAACAGAAAGAAATTAGCTGCTATTTGGCATTAGGAAGATGGGAGAGTTTAGGAAGAAAGGCTTCTTTGGTAAGACCAGGGCTTTTCATGGTCCTCTGTGCTCTCAGCTGTGCTGGGCATTCCTTCAGTAACGCATCAGTTCTTGCTTCCATTTCCTTCAACAGCTTGACGACAGACAAGCAGTTAGGGCAGCCAAGAGAAATACACTTCATGACATCATTCTCTGGTGGATATATTTAAGTTAATTAGTTATGCTCAATTTTATTTCTTTGTTCTCTAATCTGTCTAAACTATGTTACAGGCTCCACTGATCATCTGTGAAGACTAAATAATGTGCAGGCTTGTACATAGTATTTTCTGACTAGGGAGGAAAAGAAAAAAAAGGCTTGTTTATTTCTCTTAACCTATTTTGAGAAACTTAACCATGGGAAGAAAATGGGGAACAGGTCTGATACAGAAATAAATGTCTATTTATTTTTAAACAAGTATACTGACATTGAGAGGTGAATACAGTGTAAACATTGCTGCAGACTTATAATAGTATACTGGCTAAGAAGTGGAAATCTTTTTTTTTTTTTTCCCCTGACTGTATAATATGTCTGGTGATTAATTTAGTATCCATTATGACTGCAAGATATCAGCTTTATGCACACCCAGTTCTTTCATCCTCAGGCCAAGAACCATTTTGCAGGCGTAATGCAAGAATGCCTACAGAGCCGTGTGGGTGTATGTAAACTCTAACCTGAACATCTTGCAGTGTTCTCAAGTGGGAGGGTAATTTCGCCTCTTCATTGATTTTACTGATGTCTCTTATGAGCAAGTAGTGCCATTTCCCTCAACCTGTGATGAATTGCGTGTGCCCACAATGTGGGCTGTTGCTCACCAGAGGATTAAGCAGGAGCAACAAACCTGCTTCACTTTTCTTCAAACCTTTCATGAGTGACAGACACCTGCGTCATCTTCTTCAGTCTTAACATTTTGATATATAAGAGCAGCCTTCCGGTTCTGCTAGAGGAGACTGCCTAGGCTGGCAAAAATGCTTACATTGCAACTGGATCATTTACAAGAAACCACTGCATTACTTGTGCTGAAATCTTCAAAAGTAAAAAAAAAAAAAATTGTGTCGTCTCGGCACTGTTAAATTAAGCAGTCCTAAGTACCTGCAGTAACCATGGTATCTGAAAGTCTGGATTGCTGCAGCAGTTCTTTGTCTGCAAAGTGGTACATACTGTACTTGGATTTTAATGGAGCCATTTATACAGATTTTATATTTTCCCATAAAACTCCTCAAGATGAATGAAAACAAGCGTGGGCTAAGTGTTTGTGCTTTTCATGCTCTTTCTGCTTCAGAATCTTGCTGGCTTTCTTAATTGCTAACTTATGCGGTTTCTTTGTCTTTCAGAATGTCGGGTGGTGAAATCTACTTCCTATACCAAAATAGCTTCAAGTTCACGTAGGAGCACCACCAAGAGCCCGGGTCCATCCCGACGCAGCAAGTCTCCTGCTTCTACCAGCTCAGGTAAAGCAAGCGAGAAATCTTTCTTAAAAAACAGCAATCTGTTTCAATACAATTAGCAATGTGCTTAAAATACCACATTTCTGGCAAGAAGTGTGTGTAAAATAGTTGATAGTAAAAATTCACTGATTTTCTCAGTTGCATTTGAGATAGCGTCTTTCCAGTATAAAAGAATTCTTCAGTGTTTTACAGATCATACTCTTGCATTACTCTCTTCGTTTTCCTTCATTGTTCTTGCATGATTTTGCTTCCAGTAAAGACTGACAAAAAGAAGTATCCCTTCTACTAAGAACTGAATAAAAATGCAGAAAGTAGTCGAAGTTACTCAGTGTAGGATCTGTGCTTGAAAATGGTTGATTTCATAATTTATTTTCTATTTTGTTTCTGGGGAAGTTACGAGCCAGCAGTGAGGAATGGATAGGTAAAAGACAATTCGCATGCTGAGGAGAGGGACAGAGCAAGGACAGAACGCAAATACAGATGTGAATTTGAGGTGCGGTGCATTGATAGCTGAGGAAGAGATAAATCAGTGTTGACACAACAAGCCAACGGTACAGGCTGTAGAAGGCTCAGCAAAAAGCTTTAAAAAGTTCTAACTCTGTCTGAAGGGCCTTGCTTTGGCTGCTTTCGCAGCTTCTCCCACCATGTAGTTTATGACTAGTTCCCTCCTGCAGCTTCTTCCCAAGCATAACAAATAAATAAACAAAAGTACATTAGACAACTTGCCAGAATAATTTGCTTGCAAATACAAATAATATTTGGTATGAGCAAGTTAAGTAGACCCAATCCAGCATTTGCAGCATGGCTTGTGAATACAGATGTTGAAAGAGACAAACATTAGAGCTGTCTGAGAGCCACCTCACTATTTCCTGCCTTATGTCTTTTGTCTCTGGGGAAGTGATCATCATACTGGACCTCTCTCTTACCTGCATCCAGCACCGTAATGTCCTTAGGGAAAAGAGAAGTAGTGATCAGAATGGTCCGGCTGCCCAGGTGTTCCTAGATGGTTTCAAAGAGGGGAAGTATGGACCAACTGGAACCATATTTCCACAAGAAGAGTAAACCGAGAAAAAAGACATCCTTGCTCAGGGAAGGAGAAAAGTGGGGGAGACACAATGAGACAGAGGCGCAGATGTGGGTAGCGAAGCTAGGAGGCAGTGTGCCTCCCACGCATCCTAAGAACAGCTGAAATAGAGAAGCCTGAAAAGAAGTGATGGGAACAGGTATGAATTGTGAGGAAGAGCCTCACAGACTGGCTTTTAAACATATTTTAAACTACTTTCTTTGTAGCTAGATGGAATAAAGTTAAATTAAACTTTAGCAAGGGAGGCCCTATTTAGTGTGTGGATGTTACAGGTGGTTTTTTTTGTTTGTTTGTTTGTTTTTCCAAATAGTAGCAGGAGAATACAGGAGAAACATTAAGTGAGTAAATCTTAATCTCATGCAGAGAGAGATTAAAAAATATATATATATATAGCAATTAGTAGTTTTTTTTTAAATATACAGCTTGATGTTAGACTCTGCACTAAAACAGTGCAAAGAAAACACCTGCTTTCAGGTATTAAATAACAAATAAAACTATCCAAAGAAGTGCAGAAAATGTAAATTTCAATGTTTTGCTGTCCAATAAGCCTAAAAAAAGTTGTCTGCTAATTGGAATTATGTACATGTGACTGTAGTAGAATATAGAAATTACTGTCTAGTGCACATATGAGCAGATGATTTTTTCTATGTTGCTTACATTAAGCATCTCACTATTAAGAGCAGCTCCTAAATGACCAATACATATCTGAAAGTTACACTTTTGCTGTGTTTTTGTTAACTACTGAGTATATATACGTATTTTTTTTATTCTGTGCTCTTAAACTGCTTTTAGATATTTTTTTTATTTTTTTTTTTTAATACTTTTTTTTTTTAAGCGAACAACTCCTGTCAGGGTTTTTTTTCTCATTAGATATAAACATAAAAAATAGTTGAGAAAGGTTTGATTCTCTGCTCCAGTCACAAGCAACATATATATATATGTGTATATACATATATATATACACATTTCAAAATAAAGCTGTATCATTTTGTGAAGAGTTACATAGTAAAAAGCAGCAAGTTGAGAAAAGAAGTAATACTGGGTAGGCAGAAAATGTTATTGATTGTGTGCCCTTTTAAAAAAAGCCAAATGAGCTATATAGAGAGGAATGGGTTGCTAATTAGAAAGAATGTGATTCCTTGTTTGGTTCTTACTGCATTCTTAAAAGTTTGCACATTCTTGCTAAGGAAAAGGATCAGATGCCTGGTTCAGTCATCAATTCTTGCCCTTATCAAGATAATACACATGGATAACCACACGGGTCAAAACAAGGATATTGTATAGATGTTCAGAAATGTAAAAATAACAGTTAGATATTAAAACTGTCAACATCCTAAAATGAAGGGATATCGTTGATTTACCTTTAATTCTCTGCTACATGCATCTATAGTATGTTGTAATCTTGGATGTAGGTAGTCAGTATTACTTTGTTTCTCTTCTAGCAAAGGATAGCTGATAGGAATTCATCATTTTTAGAGTTAATGAAGGCACTGTCTTTGGGTTGTTTACACATTGTTAGAGGAATGAATGTGTAAATGAGGCTAGGAAATGAGAACAGACTGCTTTGGCTTAAGCACCTAAATATCCTCAGGAACTGTTCCCCTCTGTGGCACAGAATTACAAATGATAAGTGAACTAAGTCTGACTTTGATTGAACTAAATGTTTATAAATTGCATTGAAGTCCATGAGGTGCTTGTTCTGAGCAAATAGTGGTATGGAGTTGCCCACATTTTCCCCAATAGCTTCTGAAGTTGTTGACAGAAATTGAAGGGGGTAGTTTTGTGGTTTGTCTGGCAGGTGGGTTGCTTGGTTTTCTTTAATGTCTGTGTCTCAGTTTCACACCTGTAAGTTTAGCGAAATACTCTATTACCAAAACTGGTGCTTTGAAGATGTATTTGGTTTACATGGCAAGGTTTGTTAGCAGGTGGGCTGCAGGGGTGGCTTCTGTGAGAAGGGCCCAGCAGCTGCTCCATGTCAGATCAGAGCCAGCTCCAGTCAGCTGGGACCCACTGCTGGCCAGAGCTGAACCATGAACGATGCTGGTTGTGTCTCTGGGAGAGCAGAGTTAAGAAAGGGACAAAAACTGCTGTGCAACAGCAGCTGGGAGAGAGGGGTGAAAAGCAGCCCTGCAGACCCCAAGCCAAGGTCAGTGCAGCAGGAGGTGCTTCAGGCACACAGCAGCAGTTGCCCTGAAGTCTGTGGAGAGGCCCCTGTTGGAGCAGGCTGTCCCCCTGCAGCCCATTGGTCCCACAAGGAGCAGATCTCCACACTGCAGCCCCCCCATGGGTGGAGGAGCCCCCAGTGGAGCAGGTGGATGTGGCCTGGAGGAGGCTGCGGCCCATGGAGAGCCCCCGCAGGAGCAGGCCCCGGGCCGGAGCTGCAGCCCGTGGAGAGGAGCCCACGCAGGAGCAGGGGTCTGGAGGTGCCAGAATCCTGTGGGAGGGACCCCACAGGGAGCAGGGGCAGATAGGGACCGTGAAGCAGTGGCAGAGATGAAGCGTCAGGGACTGACCGCAGCCCCCATTCCCCTCATGTCTAGGGGGAGGACACAGCATAGTGTGGATGAGGGAACGTGTTTTTAGTTTGCTTTAATTTTTTACTGTGCTGGTCCACTAGTGATAGGCAATAAATTATATTAATCTCCCTATGCTGAGTCTGCTTAGCCCCTGATAGTAATTATGGAGTGATCTCCCTGTCCTCATTTCAACCCTTGAGCTCTTTCCATCGTATTTACGCTCCCTTTTCCTTTGAGGAGTCAGAGTGAGAGAGCAGTTGTGGTGGAGTTCAGCTGCCCAGCGGGGTAAAACCACCACAGATGACAATTTCTGTAATGTTAACAAATGATTTTTAGAGAAAATCCTGCTGGATGGGCTGTTGCCCCTAATGTGTAAAGCTTGCTGTTTGTGGTGGTCCCTAACTGTGTATGGGAACAGGCAAAAGATACTGAGTCCCCTTTCCTTGGTGAGCTCTGGAGCAGTGAACATCCAGAGGTGGTTCACTGCTCCAGAGAACCATCAAGTAGCAAGCCTGAAAGTCCAGAACCTGCCATTGCCACTATTGGGCTTTGCAGGTGCGAGGAGATGAAAACAGCATGAGAGCAAGGCAAAGTGCTGCCCCACAGGCTCGAGGACACACTGGAGAGCAGGCTGCAGGGTTACAGAGGGAGACACTTAGCGAAGCCAGAAGCTACACCAGGGCTTAGTGCTTTGCAGATTCAAATCTGTAATTCAGGATGAGGAAATACAAGGCTGGCTATAAAGGAATGGCAGACACATGCTCCTCACCCTTCCTTGAGCTAATGCAATCTTAAGTGAGCAAAAAGCTGCATCTGCATTTTTACACCATTTCCTGACATACTGAAGAGAACTGTAAGCATTTACATAGGTGATGTTCAGCTTTCTTTTTCAGCCTTGCTTTTTCCCTTTTTTAAGACAACATATGTTTAGTATGCTTTTATTTTCCTGATAGCCTCCCTCGCACCTGGGAGCAGATGAATCCTATATTTATACAAACACGGAAGACTTTTTTCCTTAAAAGTGTACATGCAAGCTAGTAAGCTCTGTGGTATGGGCCGACTTCTCTGTTTTTATGTGTTTTGTTCAATTTTTTTTATTTACATTTGAGAGTGCTTTAAAATAGCAGCATGAGACAGAAATCTCACTGCAGGACAATTGCTTTCTGTTTTTTCACAAATACATTTGAGATATTGTCTGCTTCAAAACACTTTCAGTCCAAATAGAAAAGAAAAGTGGGGAACAGAGAAGGCAGAGAAGAGAAGCAGAGAACGGCCGCATCACCTCACAGGCAGGCAGAGGGCTAAAGTCTGGTTCAAGTGCAACAGATAATCCTGCCTCTGTTTAATTGTCCTGATGTCTTCTTAGGGCCTTTGATGTTTTTGTTGGCATCAGATATTCCTCA